CCAGCCCCCACCTCTCATGATGACCTTAACCCTAATTCTATACACTTCAATCTTAGGGTTCCTCCTATACTCTTTACTTAACCGCCTTCTCCTCAGCCGTTATCCAAAACCGCTGCCGCCGGGCCCAAAACCATGGCCGATAATCGGAAACCTCCCCAACATCGGGCAGAAACCTCACCAATCCATCGCCGCCATGGCCCGCGTTTACGGCCCCCTCATGCATCTTAAAATGGGGTTCGTCCATGTGGTTGTCGCCGCCTCAGCGGAGGTGGCGGAGCAGTTTCTTAAGGTCCACGACGCCAATTTTTCCAACCGGCCACCTAACTCCGGCGCCAAATACCTTGCTTATAACTATCAAGATCTGGTCTTTGCACCCTATGGTCCACGGTGGCGCATGCTGCGTAAAATTTGCGCAGTTCATCTTTTCTCCACCAAGGCTCTAGATGACTTCCGCCATGTTCGACAGGTAAGGTAGGCAGTACTAAAAAAGCTAAGGTGTGTTTGGCTCATTGTTGGTAAGCTTAAGAAATTTACTTATAAGTAATTTTAAAAATAAATAGTCTTTATAGGATAAACAAAGTACTTTCGTCTGATCTATATCCTTATAGTTACATTCCTTACCCTAGTTCCTTTCTTCTTGTTCATGGAATTCGTCGAACTCAATAATCGTAACGGTTGCAACCAGCTAGTTATGTGCAAAGTGTCCCACTTCAAGTTTTTTAGGGTGGTTACCATGAATTTTAATTCCATGGGAATATTCATACCTGTTTGGTAGGGATTCTCATTTTTTACGGTGAATCAATTCTTATTTTCAACCACACATTATTCAATAAAATAATATTTTCTATCATATCAATACTTTTTTCTTCTTTTTCAACCACACATTTCCCATCATATCACTATTCAAAAATCAATTATTCCCTTAAAAATCCCTACCAAACACACTCTAAGACTCATTCTTAATTTTTAACCAATAAGAAGGTCATAGAAACCAATTTTAAGATTTTAAGATTTTAAAGTTTATTAAAAGTTTATTAGATTATAAAGATTATTAGATTTTTGTTCGCTCATAGTAGCACCCCCACATTTGATATCAGAGTTACAGGATCAATAAAAACCATAAAGATCATGGAAGATATTAACATAGGATACAAAAATCATAAAAATACTATCACTAAAGAAAACAACAATTAATTGAAATTGAAGATTTAGGTAATAGATATAGGATAATAAGAGAAAATTTTAACATAATAATTACAAAACCAATAGTATGAAACGAAAGAATAAAATTTAAATTAAAAACACTCGAAAAATTACCTATAGACATAAGACAATTTATA